GCAGGAATGGTGTTTCTTAGGCAAAGAGGGTCAGAGTTTCTCTGCTTTGGGTAAGAGTCCCCTCCGGGCACAAGAAAGGAAATAACCCTATAGGGTATTATGCTGTGTAATTAGAAAATACACATAGAACTGGAAACAGCAACTATCTTAGTTACTAATATGGAAAAAACTTTTTTTTTTTTAATCTTGAAAGAAGTGAAATACAGTACAATAAATCTGTCTACCACAATCTAAAAGGTAATGATCTTGGAGTTTCATTTTCTAGAAAAAAAGAAGGAAAGGACTTCCCTGGCAGTCCAGTGGTCAGGGGGCATGGGTCTGATCCCTGGTCGAGGAACTAAGATCCCACACTGCTGTGTGGCACGGCCAAAAAATAAAAACTAACAAAAATTTTAAAAAAGAAAGAAAGAAGAATGGAAACAAAAGTGCTTAGTAAATGTAAGCCAAACTAAATAGGTATCTAGTCACAGCCATAACCCATACTATGACTTCCTGCTTTGTGAGTGTTTCTTACTGTACCGTGTCAATAACCTCTCAGGGCCACTGAACCCTAGGAAAAGCAGAGGTCGGCTTGGCATGATGCCCCATCAGTGGGGACAAGTTTAATTCAGCAAACACTGGGTGCCTCTGGAGATTTACGAGCGGAACAGAAGAATGACATGATCAGACTCATGCCTTGGGAAATAGCAATGGATTAGACTGGGGAAACACTGAGGGTTCACAGCCACAGTAATCCAGGCAAGGGGTTACCAGAGGTTATATGTGGGAAGTCACACACACCCCAAAAAATTGAACATGGCTCTCCGGGTGGTTAGAATTACAGGCATCTTTTCTTTTCTTTTCTTTTTTTATGTGTTTTTCTGACTTTAGCAAATTTTCAGCAGTATATTTACTGCTTTTATAATCATAAAAAGAGGGAGGGCCCTTGAGAATGAATGCAGAGGGCTGTGCAAGAGGAATCTGAAGACCCTACAAGAGTGAGGGAGTGAACAACAGCCGAGAGGGACGCGCGTCACCAGCGATGCCAGAGAGGAAAAGCAAATGGTTGTCAGAAGAAACAGCAGAGCCAGAGGGAGGAGGAGGGGTTACGTGGACACGGAAATGACAGTGATTTCAGTTAGGGTCATGGTCAATCCAAGGTGACTGACTACAGAGCACCCAAGTGGCAGCACCAGGCTGGGGTTGGAAAGAGGGGTCTGAAGCCAGCAAGAGAAGTGAGGGCTAGAGAGAATGCTGGGTGTCACGTCCACATGTCTTAGTACCCAGAAGCAGAGCGCGGAGGATGAGCACACACACTTTGCGGACGCTGTTTTTAGTGGGCAAAGGACTAAAAGGAGGCAGAAGAGCTAAGAGAAAGCCCGAAGAATGCTGTGCCACCAAAGCTAAGAAAAACAGGGTTTCCGGAAAGAAATGGACGGAAACGATACGGCAGGGACTAGAGCTGTATATAGCTCTACTATAGCAGCCACTAGCTCCATGGGTGACTGCTTACATTTCAATCACTCAATATTAAATGAAATTAAAATTTCAGTTTCTCACTCGCACTGGCCACATTTTAAATGTGCAATAGTCACATGTGGCCAGTGGCTCCTGAACTGGGCAACACAGAGTAGGACACAGCCAGCATCATAGAAAGTTCCCCTGGACAGCACTGCTTTAGAGGCATGTAGGCACGGTCTGCACTAAGGCTGATGGCTTTGGTGATGAGAAGGTCAGCGGTGACCTAACACTCTCAGAGGAGTGGTGGGTCTTGTCATACTCTTACAGTGGTCCTGAACAAGGGATTAAGAAGAGGAGAAAGAAGTCGGCTAATGAGAAGTAGGGCAGAGAAGGTGATGCTTGCAGTTGTTTCAGGAATAAGGGAAAGCGAATTTGCTTTCTTTGTTTGGTTTGGTTTTAAACATCATGGAGCCCCAAGCTTGCATTTAGAGTGAGAAGGGTACAGAATATTTGTGAAAGAGGAAATAACCTGTTCAGCACCAAGCCCTGTGCTTGGCAATCCTGCGGCCAGGGAGCTGGTGAGAGCTGGCAGTACTGGGATAACTGTGTCATCCTGTAGCTCTCAGTACTTACCAAGGACCCAGCACATAGAAAGCCTTCGGTAAATGTGCACTGAATGACGGAGCTGAGACATCACAGACTACATCCAAAAAGTGATGCCTGGAGTACACCTGGGCTCGCTGCAGAGTACGTGGCTCTTGCCCTCTGGAAGCCAATTAAGTGAGACAAAAGGATTGGCCACCCTGCCTCACCCCAACCTCTCCAAATACCCAGGAGTTACCTGCTTGCCTTGAGCGAGGCTGGTCCAGATTCTCCCATCAGTGATAACAGCACCACTTACTGAGCGATGCCATTGTGAGTGGCTTTGCCTGGAGCATTTCATTCTTTAATCCTAATGGAAACTCTATGAGGAATATTTAAGTATGATCCCCATCTTACAGATAAGGAAACTGAGGCTCCAGGAGATTAACATGCCCAAAGTCGCTTGGTTAATAAGTAGAAGCAGGATTCAAACACAAGCCAGCCTCCAAACTCCAGTACGGTGCCTACTCTTCATTCATCTCATCAAAGTTTGGTGTGTTCTAAGATTTAAAACTTCAAATTCAGTGGAGG